CCCTTAAATAGGCTCCAAACCCGGGGATTTAGGGTTTCATTAAACAACGTGGACTCGCTGAGTCCAAAGCGAATCCGGATGAACAATCACGATCCTACTCGGCGAGTCTACGCATCAACTCGCCGAGTTCCTTCTAATAATTCAAAATAATTAAATAAAATAATATACCTGGAAACCCGACTGTTACAGGTCATCTGAGCTTGCATAGAAGCAGCAAACTCAGGATAAATCAATGCTCTCTCAGTAAACATCTTGGGGATCTCTGTCACCAAATGAATCCCATGCCTCACGTCCAAATACTATTGGGCCAATCACTCATTATCAACTAATGGAGCAAATATCATGCAGAACATCTTAGAGAACTGCTCCCATGATGCAGTAGCCCTCTGCTCCGGAGTCTGGGAGCTAGTAACCAACCTCCACCAATCTTTCACCCCCAACCGGAGAAGGTTCATGGCATATTTGACCTTCTGGTCAGCTGGGCAGGAGCAAGTAAAGAAACATCTCTCAACATCGGACAACCACCTCATAACAATGATTGGATCCAGAACCCTATCGAACACCGAGGACTACATGTTGTCGAAGTCCCAGTACTAGAAGGCTCTCTCTCCACGAACCCCAGTGGACGCAACAGCCATGGTACTCAATCATGGCAGTATTGATAGATCCGAACATCTTCAATATCTGTCCCGGATAACAGTCACTACCTTAGTAGAAATCAACACCCTAATCTCATCCTCAATCAACCATGGCCTATCCTGGCCACTCGCTACAGCTTCTGATCTGGATCCCCTCGTGAACACCATACTAAAAATAAAACATAAAATATCATATAAGACACATTTCATACCATATGAGCAATTCTAAATAATGAAACCCTAGGGATTGTGACTTCCTTGCTATGCGTACGCGTCCTATGCTTCCGTTTGTACATGCTCATACTACCTTCCACACCTACCCATATTTATCTCAGAAGATCATAACAACAAGCTTAACATCACACACTAGAATACACATCTTATTCTTACTCCCTAGAGAAAGGCTACACATTCCTCAACTGGCTGACTGCTTACACATAACCCATCCATGGAACTTCCAACACATGCTAAAAAGTACATCATGAGTACTACATACTCCTTAGGCTATCATAGGATCCACACCTCACTCGGCCATCAACTGAAAAACGACCCCCCATTGGTGCTAGTTAACTACCACATGAATACAATAACATGTAACATAACTTAAATAATCTTAGATTAAAAGATTCAACCCCACAACGGTTTGAATCAGACAAGAGATGCACAATAGGGCCAAATCCTTCACTCTAAAATTATTTAACTCGTGTAGCATGTGACTTAACGTATTTAATTAATATTTAATTCACACTCGAAAGAGTCCTACAACAATAAGCAAGAAAACTGTATAGGAAATAAGGCATCATACATCGGACAATTCTATCATGCAATTCATGAAGATCCATATCCTATAACTAGCACTTTGTTCTACCATATTATAACAAATAACATTGTGGGTAAGTTGCGGTATACTTTCTTGCTCCGGCTGATCGTACACATCACATCCTTCCTTGGTTATTTTTGAAAACCATTTAAAACTTTTGCAGTTCCCTAGTTTGAGTCTGGATTCAGATGAATGTTCATCCAGTTCGCTCAAACGAAGGCTCTCAAACCAACTTATAACACTCCAAAAATCAAGGAATTTAAATTCTTTTTTAAAACCAACCATGAACCCTCATTGTTTACAAAAAACTTATTGTTTCAAAAATAACATAATATCAGAGTGTCCCAAATAAACCAATGATGTGAAAATAGGAAGATGTGCACGATCAGGCCTTCGCTTTTCCATTACCCTTAGAAGTACCTGAAACCATAAACTAAAATTCTAAGCCAAATCTTGGTGAGTTCCCCCAAAGTACCAACATACAAATATGAGCAACCAACCTAACTGGACCGCCTCACATGGCCTACAATATATCTGGTCTGCTCTACGAGCCTTCGTCATGACTAGACTGCCATGTAGGGCCTACAGCTTATCCAGTCCGCTCTACGGGCTTCCAGCCTGATTGGCCCGCCTCACAGGACCTACAGTCTACCCAGTCGTCCCCGAGTGTCTTGGCCTACAACACAAAGCAGGACCACCTCAACCCAACACAAGTGGTCGACATATGTACAAATAAACATAAATACATAACCATAAAATACAAATAATCATACGGATCCAATTAGCAGCTATAAATTAGCATAACACTATCCTAACCATGATAAATAATCTAGTGGGCCGGAATTGGTGCCTACGACCCACGAGTACAGTAAGGAAAACTTACCTCTCAGTCTGAATACAAGTTGAATAAATATTTACTCCAAAAATTGGCTCAAAAATCACTTAACCAATACCAAGGACCTAATCTTAATTAAAATATCAAAATACCCAAAATACCCCTAGGTTAAACTTGGTCAAAACATCCTTTTCAAAGGTCAAAGTCAACGAGTCATTCATTAAGCTCTGCTGAGTACGTGGGGCGTACTTAGCTTTTATGGTGGGCTACACGAGCACTGATCGGATCAGGAAGTTGACCTCATACGTGTGACATACATAGTACTACACACGACGTATGTGCTAGGGTCCATTTTTTCTAATAAGAGCTTAATGTGTTAAGCTCTTACGTCCCAATTGTAGATACAAGGCCATATTACCATTGAGAGTCATAAAGTTTCCAACTTTATGACTTTGCATGACCATTAAGTGCTTAATACCTTTAATCCTAAGTTCTTAACACCTAAAGACATTCTAGAGAATGCATGGGGAAGAACTAAGCATATCTCATTTTTATGACTCAAGACCCCTCATTAGGTCTGAAAGGACAACTTATTTAGCTAAGAGCATTCCATGCTCAAGAATCACCAAGGTTAGGACCGAAAATGCCCTAAATGAAGGAATAACTAGATCTATAAGAAAATATGATCAAGATAGGAGCTTTTTACCTCCTGAAGGTTGCTAGCAAGGTGAGAATCCTAGATCCAAACTTCTTCCAAGCTCCAATGTCCTTGCACTACCTTCTTCTTCTTCAAGAACACCACCAAAAAATAGAAATAAGCTCAAGGTTGCACTCTTTACCATTAGGGTTAGCTAGAGGGAGAATTTTTGGTGGAGGCTGATGAGCGTGAAGGTCTTGGGGCCATAAAAGGGATTATATAGGGTGTAATCAATCAAAACTAGTGTTTTGGTCTAAATAACATACACCTCGCGTACCTACTAAGTATGCCCGACGTACATGTGCAAATCCTACATTCCTCATGCATGAGTACGCCATGCGTACACCTCGAGTACACACAACATACAGACCAGAAAGGTAAAACTTAAAAATTTAGAGTTAGAAATGAACCTTCTCGGAATGGGTGTTACATATATATATATATATATATATATATATATATATATATATATATACATATATATATATACATATATATATATATATATATATATATATATATATATATATATATATATGAGATACATACAACCAAAATAATTTAAAAAAAAAAGCGAATATAATGAGTGCCTAGTTATTAAAAAAATAATAAGTGATTGTATAGAAAAAAATAAAATAAAAAAGATAAAAATAAGGGTCAAATTTTTATTCTAGAGAGATTTAACAGTGGATGCTTAATGGTGAAAACCTCATTGACTACACATGTAATTTTTTCCAACCAAAATGATCATCCATAAATAAAATTTTAAACTTGGACATACTATGTTGAACACTAAAAATCATAGGGACCAAAACTCTAATTTAGTCTTCGTGTAAAAAATTTAAAACTTGGACCTAAAGTGTAAAACATTGAAAACCATAAGGATAAAGACTATAATCTAGTCTTCTTGTAAAAGATTAAATTTAGTAGCTAAAGTGTAGAATTTTGTAGTCTACATGGGCCAACACTTTTTAATAAATATGCTAAGAGGGGGAGTTGAGCTTGAGCATTGGGTTGCTCTGGTGTTTGTTAAGAGCGTGACACAATGTCTAAGAAAATAAATAATATAAATAAAAATATTGTACATATGCACTAGGGGATAGTATAGGAAAGCATGGTCGAATCCATAAGGACACGTCCTAAGGTCTTTGCCTCTTTTGCATATGGCACACACTAATTTAACAAAAATTAAAATGGGGCCCACTACAAGAAAAAAGACCCTTTTACGACGCGCTAACCACGACACTCATTGATTTATGTTACACAAAAGAGAGTGACATTAAAAACGTATCGTCTATTCAAAAAAATTAAGGATCTATGTCACGCATTATTGCATGCCCTTAGATTAGTGTCTCATGTAAAGAAAAAAACACGGAGGGCACTTTATCTAAAATGTGCATCCTCTGTGAATGTCGCTTTATGTTTTACTCAAAACGCGCGTTCTTGAAAGGGGGAAATGAAATCCCAAAAAATTAAAACCCCGCCTATTCCATGTGAAAAATTAGAACCCGCTCCTCTTCCAATTAGCAAGAAAGAAGCATAGGGTCTTCGTCTCTCTCTTTCTCTCTCTAACCTACTACCCAACTTGCAATTTCATAGAGATTGTTATTACGATTTAAGAAGCAAAGAAGAAGACAAGCAAGGATAGTACTACTAAATTCCACAAAATTGTAGGGACTAGGGCTTTTTTTTCAAGAACGGAAACACTTGGTGCTCTCTGGCCTCTGCAAAAATCGATCGATGATCTTGCCTCACCTCGCAGGCAACATCTTTGCTCACTTCTCCTCCAACGACCTTAGGGATATTTTCCTCCGGCGACCTCGAGCTCATGTGACCTCGTCGGAGACTACTCAAATTTCCACACCCTAGCCCAACTAAGATATGATTTGGTTATTCACTCTTCCTAATGTTTTTGTTCTTCTATTTCTTTAATTTCTCCTCTATTCATAGCTTTGATTTCGATTTTGGATCTTCTCATCTTCTCTTGTGTAAAACCCTAACTGAAAAACTATGCATGTTTCAACGGCGATTTCCTCCTCATTCCACGATCTTGACTTCTACTCTCTAAGCATCTCAGGTATGCTTTGTTCCTTCTCCCCTATTGTAATTCCTTCTTGTTTGATTTCTTAGGTGCGATATCCTTCCCCCTACTTTTCTGATTCTCGATCCCATTCTGATACATTGTTAGCAGTCGCACAGAGCACCTCACACACATACTCACATTTAATATTTTGAGCATAAATTCGAGAATATGTTATGGTCTGATGAATTTTTTGTGTGTTTATCTTATCCAGGGTTTGAAAATTTTGTATTATGCTAAATTACATCTATCATGTTGTTACTTTCCGAGGTTTCATGTTTCTTTTATCACAGTGATTGTTAAAGCAAGTAGTGGCCCAAAGTATGTGGTCGGTTTCATAACTGATTCAATTTTGATGCGTAAACAGGTTAGATTTCATATGGTTGTTTGTTCAGATTGGTATTCATCCTGATTTTTGTTCAATTATGCAACAACTATGATGGAATTTGCTATGTTCCATACCCGGATTATGAATTTATCGGAAAATTGAATAATTAATTTGGAAAAATACCATCTTTGGATGATTTGTTTGTCATCTGTAGATAAGGAATACAATGTTTGGGTAATTAGTTTATCCAGCAAAATCTAATGTTCATATTCTTTGTTTGTTTAAAAAGTAATCCATATTGAAGTTGGCGTTAGGGTTCGGATGTTTCAACTAATCATCTTTCCGAATTAGCCCCTGTCAATAAAGAAAAATCACGAAAGATTAAAGGGTTCAGAAAATCATCAGAAGTGGCTTTTGTTATTCTAGCACCTAAAGTCTTCAAAATCTTGGAGAAACTTGTTCATGAGTTCCATGGACATCGTGGAGAAATCTTGTCCCTTTCATGGTCTAGAAAAGGGGTTAGTAACTTAGAATTATAACACTTTATTTATATTGGAATTACTAATGGACATATACTTCATTTTCCTTGTTATATTAAACATGCGAGGGATGAAATTAAAACCTCAGAAATACAAAAATTCTACATTCAGGTAGTTGTTTTCTTGGAATACCACCCTTTTATTTCTTGCCTTTCTTTTGTATGTCGATTTCTTTATTAAAAGTTACTTTGTTGAAGGGTATTTATGACATTTGACTGATAGTCAAACACTCCGAGATTAAAATGCTCATTTTTTTTTACCTGAGACTAATCTAAAGCTTCAAGAGTCTAGTTTACCAAACATAAAAACTAAACTAAAAGCTGGTTAAAAAAACATTTATATTTACAACGTACTACAATAGTCTACATTACCCTTGCTAGTCTTCTCTTTTTCTCTTCTCTACCACATTACCTTGTGCCTATATAACATCATCCAATTCTTCAAGGGCATGATGGTCATCTTATCTGTTTTCATGCTATGTTTTACTTACTCCTCTTATGTTAGTGTTTCATCATGTCGTTTTTAAATATAACAAGTGAATTGAAGGGCATAATCGTCATGTTATCAGTTTTCAGTGGCTTTTTGACTAAATTTGGCATAAATGACACTCTTTACCGGTTTTGAGTTCAATGGAATATAAACCTAAACCTAACCTAAAAGGGTTCTATCTTAATTTAGGAGATAATTCCTAAATAAAATGAAATAATATTTATCTCCTAGGAAATGGATTTATCTAATTTAGGAAAAAATATGTTTCTTTTATGCTGTCAAGCTTGCGTATTTGTGGCCAAAAGGGAGCATGAACAACCATGGAATACGAAATGCAATTTGTAGAGCCAAAGAACGTCGAAGAACACTATTGCAAGAAAAGGTTTGCAGCTCTTGTTAATTTATAATTATTTTATCCAAGGGTATTTTAGACTTTTGACACATAGTAGATGTCAGTTTAAACGTTGCAATTTCATATGGAATTTATCAGGAAGTCTCATTATCCAGTCTACATGATTAAATTAATGGACATATAATTCTCTATTGATTGAACAAAAAACATTGCTTTGTAATGAACCGAGTTAAAAATCGAAAGGGTATATCTGGGAATAAAATTTAAGGTAGGTTTGTCAAGATTGTACGGATAACTGTTGATTGGATAAAAGTCTTTTGATCATGTTCAGTGGCATGAAAAGAAGCCTACTGCAGGGCTGGATAGCAATCTCCATGAAGAAGCTGACTTAGTTGCTGAACATGGAAAACCGGTAAATGACCATAACACCCCTGATCTAAATTTTCCGGATACTGTTGTCCCTGGCACGCCTGAACTTGATCGGAAACTTGATGCACCTCCAAAAAGGTTCAGCCCACCATCATCAGGGGATTGCTGAGTTGTATAGGACACTACCCGTGAAACTGTATATAAATGGTAGCATTTATGTGACCATAATGCCCCTGTTCTAAGATGTTTTAACCTCTCAAATGTGCATGAATTCGTTGACCGGTTATGGTGGTTCCATGTTTGTTGTGAAGATGATGTATAGTGTTTTATAGGTATATAAGCTCACCTTTTTCTCTGTGTTATTAGCTCTGAGTCTAGTATTTATCTTATTAGCAGGCTAAACCCTGTAAGAGTCTGTGGGTAAGTGGCATCAGCAGTTCCCTTTTAACAATATTAAAATAAAAAAATGGAAAACACGAAAGGAGCTTTTGTGGGTGAAAAATATATTGCGTATTTTATCTTGTTTTAACTATGGCCTCTGTATATGAATGATATAACAAGACCAGGGTCCTCATTTCCGTGATGCAAAGGAAGGAAAACATTTCAAAATTATGGGTCCACATGATTCACCATGGTTGGCACCAAATAGTGGTAAAAATTACACTGATTCTTCATATTATGGTCCCAAAAGGCAACAGGTTATAACCTAGTTCTATTTATGCCCTTTTTGCATTTAACTTAGGATATGGTATCATCTTTCTGTTTTTGCAATTTTGTTTATTGTAATTATGGGCTATTTTTGTCTTCTACCAGTTATGGGGATTTTTTTTATTATTATTCCAATAATGGTGTATTTTGGTCTTTTAATAAAAAAAGAATGGAATCAAGTACCTTTCAGGAATTGTGAACATGGAATAATATGAAGGGAATTCCGTTGATTTGCAATGAAACACGAAACAGAATGGAATAATTTACATCCTTTGTGGTGTTTTTACAGCCTAATTTATTTATGGAATCTAACATTGGTTTTTCTTTGCTATCTGTATTCACTATCATTGGTAACTTTTTTTACTTTTCAATTGATAACAGTAATCAGTTTGTCAAAAAATATAATCAGATAGTGATGTTGATGATGATACAGGAATTAGTTTATCAACATAGTTTATTTATGGAATCTAAACATAGTTTACTGTGGGTGCTGGAGTTGGTGGTGGGAGCTCTGGAAACAAGATGCCAACTCTAGAGGAATATGGTACCAATTTCACAAAGCTAGTAGAAGAGGTGCTTCTTTCAATGTATTAACAATAGTGGTAAGTAAAGTCTTAATATTATGAAGCTCTTTTGCTTAAACGTATCTTATTGACTTGTAGCTGATTAAACATTAATTTAATTATGCAGGTTTTGAAGTTTTTGATGGAAAAGATTAGTGTTAATGCTCTTCATAGAAAAGTATGTTGGTATTTTAGGAAATTTGGCTAATAATGTAGTTAATTATCTAAAAAATGTATTACATCGCTCTCACATTTGTTGATGACTTTCATCGCTCACATTTGATTATTTGTATGACATTAATTTCTGTGCAATGTATTGTATTTTTTGTATAGGGTATTTTATTTTCTATTATGAGACATGAAATGCAAATATAAATTGAAAATTAGTAAATATATAAATAATTTTTTTATAAAAAAATTAAAGTTACGATACGCAAAAATGTGTGTCATCTTCATTTATGACATAGCCTTTCTTGACAGTGGCTTCAATGATACGCATTGCGTGTCATAAATGCGTGTCGTAAATGCGCGTCGTCTATAGACGACGCGCAAAAGCGTGTCATCTCTCGTTATGACAGGGCCTTTCTTGACACGCATTTGCGCGCCGTCTGAGCGTTTTACGACGCGCATTGCGCGTCGTAAAAGGCTGTTTTTCTAGTAGTGGGGGGATTTGTTGATTATTAAAACTAAATTAGAAAGAAAATTATGAAAGAAAATGCAATTAAAACACTTGAGTAAAATTCTACAGGTAAAAGCAAATTGAGTTTTGCGATGACTCTCCCAATCATGCAAATTACTTTCAACATGATTGTTTGAATTACGTACTGTTTAAACTGGTACTGAAAATCATTAATAAGCTCTAACAATTTTCTTTTATTAAAATGTTTAACCAAAACAAGCTCTTTGAATTAAATCTTACTTTCTACTGAATTAACTAAATAAGCTCTTAATTAATTTAAAAAAGTAGCATTAGATATAGTGTAAAATTTCTAGTAAAGTCCAATACTCCTCACAATCTCGAAAATGTAAAGAATTGTCTGATTAATTTATATTAGAGTTAATTCTAACACATAACTAATCGAATATTTGTTACTTTTACTGATTAATAAAGACAATTACAAATCTAGACAATCAGATAACTAGAATGATTCAATAACAATTAAAGTGGTCACCAAAACTTGAATCCAAATCAAAGTTCAACTACTTGAACGAAATGTCGAGACTTTTGTGAAACTGAAATATAGGGATTTTATCCTATTATGGCTAAAAATGAATTACAAAAGATGAAATTAAGTTCTAACTGATAAATTTTACTAAAGTAGTAATACAGATCAAATCGAGTTCTTCAGATCTTCGTTTGGCACTTAAAATCTTTAGAAAATTGTCTCTTTGTTGTACGGAATCACAACTAGCATTGAATGAAGAGTTATGAGGCTTTATTTATAGGCTCAGTGGGAATACAGTACATTCTCCGATAACATATATGGGAAATGTGACTGCATTTTTTTACGAAAACGCGCCCTAAACCAATCTAATGAAGTATAATGATATTTCTAAACATTTTGAGAGTTTGATGATTATATGCGATCGCATTTTCAACTTTTCCTTCAGAATAAATTTTTGAGCGAATCAAAACTTCGATTAACATATGTGATCATATATGTAGATAAATGCGATTGCATTTCTTCTTTTTCGCTGCATTTTGGTCGTGATTCTTCCTTTTAAGCAGTGCAAGTCGTTCCTCAACATCCTTCTTCAGTTCTAACTTCAATCAAGCTCCAATGCCTCCTACAACGCATCCTCAAAGCTTCGTATTCTCATTGTGATCCAATTTTCCCTGGAAAATCATAACAAAAGTGAGTAGTACTGGAATTCAGTAAATAAAATGAGAAATACGCAAATTATATCAATGCAAGGGAGATAATAACTTTTTGTAGGAAAATATCGATAAAAATGTGCTAAAAGAAGCATATGAAATGCATCTAATAGTTTCCGTCTTCTAATGTTTTTTTTTGCACAAGTTGTGTAGAGCAATTGAGATGGTCATCGGATTCCTCGCGAGATTTCATGTTTATTGTACGAAAATGACACAAATGACCTATAAAGTTTCTAGGGTTCATCGATTTAGTCTCTAAAGTAATTTTATGCCTTTATGAGGGTATAAGGTAGGTTATGACCTTCTCTTTTAGTCCTTTTCAACCTTTAATAGTCGGTACACCATGCAACAGTGGTCGTTTAGGCCAAAAAAACTCACATTATTCCCCTATAAAGCCAAAAAAAATAAGTTTGGGGATCATTTAATTCAAAACTCATGAAATCGACTTCAATTGACACTTATGTCCTTGATGGGAAAACCAACTCACTTGAAAGGAAACGATACTCACCGGTAGAGATGCACAAAACCCGAATCCGATCCGGTTTCGCTTACGTCATCAAAAATCCGATCCAGTCAAAATCCGATCCGAATCCGGTCAAAATCCGATCCGGTTCTAACCAAAATCCGAATCCGATTCTAATCCGATTTGAAACCGGTTTAAACCGATTTTAGTGGGTTTTAATCGGATTTTGGGGCGGATTTGGATCCGGTTTTTAGCGAATCCGGTTTACGATCCGGTATCAAATCCGATTTGGAATATAGGATTAGGATCCGATTGAAAATCCGGTTTTAAATCCGATCCGATCCGGTTTGGTCAAAACCGGTTTTGACCCAATCCGGTTTCGGATTGGATCCGGTTTTGAATAGTGAAACCGGTTTTTGTGTGCATCTATACTCACCGGGAGGAGGCAATACTCACTGGTGAGTTGGTTTTTCTCTCAAGGATGTAAGTTTGCTTTAAATTAAGTCGGTTCCATGATTTTGGTTTAAATTATTGCCAAACTTGTTTTTTTCGCTTTATAAGGGCATAATGTGTGTTTTTTGGTCTAGATGGTCACTGTTGCATGGTGTACCATCTATTAAAGGTTGAAATGGACTAAAAGAGTTGGTCGTAACCTACCTTATACCCCCATAAAGCTAGAAAATAACTTTAGGGATTGAATCGACCAACCCTAGAAACTTTGTACGGCATTTGTGTCATTTTCCCTTTTTTCTATGAGGAATTTCTTGGATAGTGGTACTTTGGCTATTAATTGGATAGTTGTGAGATAGAATAATCATTTTCGCATCAAGCTGAATTTATTGGTTTGGAGGATTGCGTTAAACCATAACCATACACAAGACCATACACATTTGCATCTTCATGATAGAAGTATTGATATAGATTCCATGTTGTTACTTGTTTATAGCACTACTTTGGTGATTATGCAACACATATTCATTTTTGCCCATCTATTATGGTGATTGGGAAGCTTACGATCTTCTCTACTGATAGTTTGCTGCATTTGGCACATAATTCGATCTTGAATGTGGTGATCATTACGTTTTTTTGGGTTTCATGAATTTTTTCAATAATACTTTTTTAGAACGGTCAAGCCATTTTTTTTGAAGATATTTTTTTGTTCTTCTTTTTGGTGGATTTGTAATAGGAGCAAGAATTACAAGATAAACTAGATTAGTTGGTTGGACAACTTTTTTTTAATTTCTACTTCTTACTAATTTGTGTGAAAAATTATAGAAACGAAACTTTCCCAACATCAACGATTATGATATCATTATAGGATAAAGAACCATAAGGTTTTCATTTACTTACAAAATAAACCTCACTACAAAATCACATAATCTACTTTTTGAATGTATCACTCAATCTAACCTAAAACATCACAAGAACATATGAAATTTTGAATAACCCTAATCTATAAACTGAACGAAAACCCTAAACAGAGATATTTTGTGAGAGAATGAGAGAACGCATGATTCTAATTTTCATAATGAGACAAATACAAAGTAGCTGAGCAATAT